GTTTTGTTATAATATGAAAATTAATAATAATAATATTATTATTATCATTATTATTATTATTTGCTAAAAGTTATTACATGTTTTATTACGTAAGAGAGTACGTGAAAACGTTCAATTGAAATGATTGGAATTATTAAATTTTTAAATGTTTTTTATTAAAATGTATCGATTTAATAATAATAATAATATGTATTAATTTAATAATAATAATAATAATAATAATAATAATAATAATAATAATAATAATAATGATGATGATGATGATGTTTAAAATGTTATTGTATATAACAAAAAAAAAAAAAAAAAAAGAAAAAAAAATTTTTTTTAGATGTGCGAGTTTGTTTGTGTACACACACACACACATATTGCGGCAAAATTTTAAAAAAATAATGTAAACGCTCTGACATTTCTCCCGCGACGTGAAAAAAAAAGACGTGTATTCAACGACAACAACGGTCAGCCATGATTTCTCTACTTCCACTTGGCGATCATTCAAAACGAAAACGTGAATCATTCGGCTGCAAGTCCGTTAGGAGTTTGGTTGTTTGGTCGACGGAGTATAGTTGTCGGCGCCGCCATTTTGTGTTTTTTCAGTTTTCAATTTTCAATGCAGGTGTTGTTAAACTAGCTCCGGATTTGTGTTTGTTTCTGTGTTTGTATCCGTGTTCGTGTATATATATTTTATTTATTGAATCGTTTTGTTATAATTTTTAAAATTAAAATTAACAGAAGAAGAAAAAGAAAAATTAATGGTTGCTTTTTCACAAATTTAGTGATCATCATCAGTTTTTACAGTTTGTGTACTCATAATTTTTTTTTTTTTTAATACAAAATATGCGTGTTTGTTGTCGACAACACGACGGTGTGCTTTAATTAATATTATTATTATTTTAAAAATTAATTTTTATTTACAATTTATTTGAAAATAAATGAGTGATTAATACTAATAATAATAATAATAATAATAATTATGAAAAATCAAAATTTATTTACAATAACTTGGTACTTACGGGAAGTGATAAATAAAGACAGAGAAAAATGTTGTTAAATCGTTTACAATTATTTACCACTACAAATAATAATAATAGTTAAAAAGAGAAAAACATATTGGAAAATAATAATAATAATAATAATTACATTACAGTTTTTTTTTTTGTGTTTTTAACAAGTTGTTTTATACACACATCAATTAAAAAACGTGTGGATCATGTGCGCGGCATAATCCGTAAAAAAAAATGTTTCCGTAAATATATAAATATATATATGTACATGTGAAAAAGAAAAAGAAGTATAATTTTGTGTTTTATTATTATTATTATCGTTTAACATCTAATGAGGGAAATGATAAGTGTAACCTCACGGAGGCTGGAAGGCCCAAGAAGATGTACCACACAGCCTCCACAATTGGCTGGAGGTACGAGTAGTGAACCTTTTAAATCTGGATATTTGGAATTAGCTCCTGAAGTTATGGAAAGACTGCTTTCTACTGATAATATTGAAAAACATTATGAAGTGGAAAGTTTACCTTTTGCAAGGTGAGTTTTTGTTGTTTCTCTTATTTTTGCCTCAAACGAATTTTACCTGTCAATTGAAACTTAACTCGCTCGTGGCACCAACATTTACATTACAATTATTTCATTTTATGTACATACATTTCGAATAAGTTGACTAATAATAATAATAATGATAGAAAATTTCTTTTTCTTTCCCTTTCTTTCTGTCGAGACTCTATTGGGGGGGGGGGGGTTTCTTCCTTTCGTTATTAAATATGGTTGAGTGTTTGAAAGAACATCATCATCATCATCGTTAACATATTGTATAAACGAGCTTTCCTTTTTTTCCCTACTATTTAGTATTTTTAAATGTGTGTGTGTGTGTGTGTATGTGCGTGCGTTGAAATGGTATCTGAATTCGTGCGTGCGTGTACGTGTATGTGTGCGTATTCGTGTGTTTTTTTTTTGTAATTCAAAGGCCATATAAAAAAAAAATCAAATGCGTGAAATCGTGATTAATAATTTTGTACGGGTTTTTTTTTTTTTTTATTTCGATTTTCCGAGGTCGCAAGTTAAAATTTTTTTTTAAGCTTTTAACCACAATTATGGAAACCTTAAAAATGTTTTTTTTTTTTGGGGGGGGGGGGGAGGGTTTTTTGTGCGGATTTTTTCTTTTGCACAAAACAATATGTCGTCTTAGTCGTTAAAAAATCCGAGGTTTTTTTTCTTGAAAAACGTAATGAAATGAAGTGTGTGCGTGTAAGTGCGTGCGTGCGTGCGTGTGGGAGGAAAAGTGATGAAAGAAAAACCTGAAAAAAAAAAAAATTGGAAAATTAATTCATTAGTCATATAAACCGTTGCTGACGTGTGTGTGTGTGTGTTTGTGTACGTTATCGATTATAGGTGATATGACGAGTAGGGGGGAAAAGCATTATTATTATTATTATTTGACGTGTTCATTTTTTTTTTTAAATAGTTGACGTTATTCGATGTCATAGAAAAACATAATAATAATAATGGAAGAAAGAAAAGAAAATAAAAGGAAAAAAATTATGTGTAACAAGTTAAATATTTACGCGTGATTTAAAATGGCAAAAGTGAAAACAAAAAAAAAAAAAAAAAAAAAACTCCAGCTCATTTTCTCATTTTTTGTTCAGATAAGAAAATTGACTTAATGTCATGTAATCACGTTTTAATTTATAATTAAATTAATTAAACATTTGTAATGATGAAAAGAAAAGAAAAAGAAAACCTCGAGAGAGTGTGAATTTTCCAAAAAGAATGAAAGAAAAAAAAGAAAGAATATTATTATTATTATTATTGTAATTTTCGTTTGGTTATCCTTGACGCTGCCGCCACGTGAAAAATTTTTCGAATTTTTTTTTTTTTTTTTTTTTTGTTACCTGAAGTAAGAATGAGTTTCGTGTGACCTTGGCAAATTATTATTATTATTATTATTATTATCACAATCGATTTTCCTTTTCGTTTTCGTCGTCCCCCCAAAAAAATTCGCATTAAAAAAAAAAAAAACAGAATGAAATAAAATAAAGAATTTATTTTAATGATATTAACTTAAGGGTCTCGTTATGATAATGTGGGTGGGGGAGTGTGTGCGCGTGCGCCGCGTGCCTGAAAACGCGTCTTTTATATTTATTATTATTATTATTATTATTATTATTAATTAATCCTAATTTTTCTTTTCTTACAAAATCGATTATGGTTTTTTTTTTTTCGTTAAGGAGAAAAAAAAGAAAAGCAAACTAATCAATTATTTCTTCTGCTTAGTTAATAAATTTATTATTATTATTATTATTATTATTATTATTATTATTATTATTATTATTATTGTCATAGATGTTGGTTGGCACGGTGGGTTATTGTTGTCGTCGTCGTTCGTCTTTTACTTTGTAGGCGTTTTTTTTTTTTTTTTCTTCAAATATTCGCATTTAAATAATAATAATAATAATATTAGTAATAAAGAACGACAAGAAAGGGCGTTTTGAAAAAAAAAAAAATTCTATTTTATTTTGTAAATGGTTTCTCTCTCTCTCTCTCTCTCTCTCTCTTTTCGTTACGATCGATCGATATATCGATGAATCGATGGATCGATGGATCGATACACGTTAAATAGAACGATTCGTATGGTTTTAAATAAATATGCGTAGAAAGGAAAGGAAATGTGAGGGATTTGGGTAAAATAATTAATAAAAATTATTATTATTATTATTATTGGGGTCTCAATCCTTGTTGTTATTATTATTATCATAATCATTGTCGTCATAGATTATGTGATCTTTAATTGAAATAGAATTTATTTTGACCTTTTGTTGTTGTTTTTACATAATAAGTTGAGAGAATTGGGTTCATTTGCGATGATCGTGATTTGGGCATGGCCATCGTGCAAAAAAAAAAAAAAAAAAAAAAATATTTTTCTCTTTTATTCGAGAAACCTGAACCTGAAGAAAAGAGTTTTCTTAGAATTTTTTTTTTTTTTTTATATTTTATTTTTTCTTTTCTCTTCTTTATTTAAAAAAAAAAAAAAAATTTCAATTCATTTATGTTTTTGTTGTATAATAATAATAATAATAAAACACACGGCCGATGATATAAATGCCTCCTTGTGCATGAGTTTAGATGTCAATAACTTTTTACTCTTTCTCTCTCTCTCTCTCTCTCACTCTTTGGTTCTTTGGTTCTCTCTCTCTCTCTCTCTCACTCTTTGGTTCTTTGGTTCTCTCTCTCTCTCTCTCTCTCACTCTTTGGTTCTTTGGTTCTCTCTCTCTCTCTCTCTCGCATCCTTTGAAGAAACGATGATTTTTTTTTTTTTTTTAATTCATTAGCAACAAAATATTTTTTTTTTTTTTGAGGTCATCAAACATCCGCTCCCTGATCGTTATGAAAAATTTAATAATAATAATAATAATAATAATAATATTAATGAAAAAAAAATTTTTCTTTTTCGCATTTTTATTTATTTATATACGTTTTTATTATTATTATTAAGTTTTGTGGATTTTTTTTTGTTAAAATCGTACTTTTTAATAAGACGATGATAATGATGATGATGATGATGATGATGATGATGATGATGATGACGAAATTTTTGTTTTTTTGTCGAAAATTGTTTTATTAAAATATTTCAATAAATAAATTCAATGTCAATCGTTTAGGTTTTCTCTTTCTCTCTCTCTCTCTCTCTCTCTTCTGTGTATGTGTGTGCATGAACGTTAATTTTTTTTTCGTTAATTTCAAGGATTTTAGTCGTTGTTGTTGTTGTTGTTGTTGGTACTGTTGTTTGTTTGTTTGTTTATTTAAAATAAAATGTTTGTCGTTTTAATATTTTTTTTTTATAATACATGTAAATAATTTTGTTATTAATAAAATATCACGAATGGTTTGTTGGTTAATTTTACGAAAAGATTATCATCTCGTAATAATAATAATAATAATAATTTCGAGTTATGGTTGTTTCGAAAAAAAAATTTTTTTTATTCCCGTTTGTTGTTTGTTTGTTGACGTCGTCGTCGAATCTTACATGCGGGGAGGTTTTAAAAAAAAAAAAAAATGGAAAGTTGAAAAAAAAAAGTATGAAAGAAAGAATGATGGCGATCTCTCGTCGTTTTTTTTATATATTTTATATAATTTAATAAAATAAAAAATAATGATGATGATGATGATGATGATAATAATGATAAATATGAGGGAAGATGATTGTATTGAATTAACTCATGTTGTTCTGAGTTTTTTTTTTTTTTTTGTATAAAAGGAGAAAGTGTATTAATGAAGGTGGTGGCAGGCAGCTTCTGTGTTGTCGTTAACGCCCATTTTTTCTTTTCTTTTCGTGTGTGCGTGTGCGTGTGCGTGTGTGTCTGTTACGTTACGTACACGATGAAATTTTAAAATTTTATTGATATGATTATCAGGTCGACGTTGATTATTATTGATTCGTTTAGGTCGTCAATCATTTGAGAAAAAATTTTTTTTTTTTTTTTTTATTCGCCTTTGCTCTCTTTTTCGCTTTTCCTTTTTTTTTTTTGTTTAAAATTTTTTATCGGTGATATGATGATTGATAATGGCGTGCCGATATTGATTAGAAATTCGTTTTGCCATGCGAAATTAATTAATTCGTTTCTGATAATGTCGAAATAAAAAAAAAAAAAACAATAATAATATTAATAATAATAAACCTTTGACCTTCAATATCTTTGTTGTCATACTTGCATGTGCAATAAAAAAAAAAAAAACAAAATGTTTTCACGTATGCATAACACTTGATAATAATAATTAGTTATTATTATTATTATTGCGGTTTGTTTTTTTGACGTGGCCAAAAAAAAAAAAAAAAATCGATTCGAGCGTTTGAATCTCGAAACGGAGTCAAATTTTAATATTGTTGAATAAAAAAAAAAAAAAAACAAATTATTATTTAGTATTAGTTTAATAAATTATCGGATCTGGAGAGAGAGAGAAAAAAGTGGAAGAGTTTAGAATAAGAAAAAAAAAAAAAAAATGGCCGAGAGACTGGTTCGTGGGCGGTACTGTGACCTACAACGATCGAATGTATATATAAAATCCGAAAGGTAAATGTAGGTAGTAGGTGTTCTTTTGTGTGTGTGTGTGTGTATGCGTGTGTGCGTGCGCGCTCGTTTAACACAAAATAAGAACAAATGTTGACCATTGATGGGGTTTCACATGTCGAAACAGTCATCATCTTGAAGGTACTTTTATGTATAACGTTTGAATGCGTTCCTTATTATTATTATTATTATTATTACGTATGACAATTTATGGAAATTGAAAATGCTCAGGTGGAAAATGTGTTGTTGGAAATTTATTCGAGAGAATGAGGAGGAGGGTGAGGGGAGGGAGGAACGCGAGAAGTGTTTTGTGTGCTTTTGAATCCTGATGGTGGTGGTGGTGGTGGTTTGTTGACGGGTACATGAAATTTTTTTTTTTTTTCGTTTCTGCCATTTTGAAATCGTCGATTATTTTATTTATTTTTTCGGTCACGTAGTTGAGAGTGTGTAAGTTTTTTTTTCCATTTGTTTGTTTCCATTAATCAATTTTCCAATTTTAATTTCTTTTTTTTTCTCTCTCTCTTTCCCTCCCTCCTCTCTCCCCCACCTCCCTCTCTCGCTCTTTCTTTCTCTCTTCATTTTTCTTACTTCGACGTTGTAGACAAGGACATTGTTTTGCAACTCTGCGGTTTTTTTCAATTTATTATTTTTCTTTTGTTTCGACCTATTCCCTACCTCTCACTCCTAACCTCACTCTTACCACCCCACCCCACCCACCCGTTGAATTTCAGCTTGTTGAAAATTCACGCGAACAAACATGTCGTTTTGTTGTTTTTCGTATGTAAGTTATTAGAAAAAAAAAAAAAGAAAAAGTTTTTTAAATTTTATTAAAAGAGTCGGGATTTCGTCAAAAAAATACGCACACGCACACACGCACACACGCGAGTCGTCATCGTCGTCGTTTGCAAACGCGTCTTTTATTATTTTAAACCCAAATG